AAGAAATAAATGTAAATAAATAGTTTAAATATTTAGAAAATATTTATTTATTTATTTATTTATTTGGTGCTCCTCCAAAAGAAGGAATACATGTAAATAAGTAGTTTGTTTATTGATTGATTGATTGATTTATTGTAATATTTTTGGTGTTCCTCCAAAAGAAAAAATAAATATAAGTAAATAGTTAAAATATTTATTTATTTATTTATTGTTTGTTTGTTTGTTTGTTTGTTTATTTGGTGTTCCTCCAAAAGCAGGAATACATGTAAATAAGTAGTTTGTTTATTGATTTATTGTAATATTTTTGGTGTTCTTCCAAAAGAAAAAATAAATATAAATAAATAGTTAAAATATTTATTTATTGTTTTTGTTTATTTGGTTTTCCTCCAAAAGAAGGAATAAATGTAAATAAATTTATATACAAATATAATATTTTTATACTAAATTAATCCATTTAATTTTTATTATTTCTTTATTTAATGCTAAATAAACAAATTTAAATGCAATTAATTAAACATAAGTTTGAAACAACATAAGGGTGACATGATGATAATTTTTGGATGATCTATTATTTTAATAGTCTTCTTTGTGTCTGTGAATGACAATCTGAAGGTTGCTGGTTCAATCCCAGCACAGTCCCCTTAATCACAAGTTGCTCCAGAGCATTTGTCCCTGTACAGCGTTCCTCAAGTCACTTTGAACAAAAGCGTCCACTAACCGACTGCTTGGTTACACGAGCATTGTTTCACTGTACGCTTCCTGTCATGGGCAATTTACAGCCCTCGTTGAGTTCCTGTCCCAGATTTGCTTGCCGTACATGCTGCGCTTCAAGAGGGATCAATACAGTCGTCGAGGAAACATTCCGGCGGCTCGTCGTATTGTTGTCACCTGGGTATTTGTGTCCCGGGAACCACCTCAGGACCACCCTACCTGAGAAAGGTGGCGATGTCTCATAAATCACATTAGTTCCAGTTCACCAGAAAGACAGGTGCAGTTTAATTGGACAAAAACTCATTTCGCGAACGCAGGAAAGAGAGAAAAACGAAAGCGAAAAGGGGCAGGGAGGCCTTGAAGGTGCATGTACCGAGAGATATCCTTTTCTATCTCTTTAATTAAGACTGCTCCTGTTTCTTTTTTCTTTCCTTAGACATATGGGCATAATTAAGGGAAAACAAATCATTACTGCTGTGTGCATTGCTGGTGAATAATAGCATTGTCAGTATCGACTGCGCTTGCTTCATTTCCCAGACAGACAGGCGCGCTGGAGGCAAAAATGCGGCGATTTGCTGTCGCTGATGGAAAATAATGCCATCTTAGACATCGTGATGAATTAGATACCTGGGCTTTTGGCAAATATTTAGCCTGCCCCCCTCTACGTGACTAGTTTTGAGGTGTTTGATGCAATCCGGGGCGGCTGCGCTTTTACAGGCTTGTTCTCTATCTCTCCTCCGTGTGTGTTTTTCATTAGAGTCTCTCCGGAGTGGCCTCAAAATTAAAGCGCATTTAATTTAGCGAGCCTCGTTATGCATCATCAGCTTATACTGTACTTCTCGCCGCTGACATATAACAGTAATCAACAATTTTGGGCTGAAGTCGCTAAAATATGACTTGATTTCGAGCGAGGTTGGTGTATTTTAATGTGCCGTGTCACGAATGGCGGCGCAAACATTGTTATAATAGATGATCGGGGTCGAGTTATGATGAGGCTTTGTGTACATTAGAGTAGCCCTCCTCGTTCGCGGGCTAACACAAGCGCTGGCGACTTTTAACTCCACTTAACACGTCTAACGAACATGCCAGTTTTATGAATGCTTTAATATCTGGCAGCTTCCCTGCAGATGTACTTATGAGGAAAGCAGGCCAGCTCACTCCCACAGACGCTCGGCGGCAAAAACAAATGAAAGCGCATAGGAAGAGTGTCGGCGCAGCAGTCATTGTTACTGATATGCTTATAAATTTCTGAGCTTGTCTCTTTTGCTTTTAGGAGATAATCAATACCCTTAATGTTCCTCTATAATTTTCAGATTCTGTTTTTCCCCCCATGACTACAGGCCCGTGGTATGACCATAACCTTATATAACTGTAAGAGTAGTTTTTGTAACATTTTACATTAGTTTTATCAAATGCATTAGGTTTCACTAACTATCAGTTAAAAACAATTTATTACAGAATTTATTAGTGTAATTTACCATTGTTGAAAATGTAATAAAAAAAAACATTAATATATTATGAACAAACATGAATTAATGAACAAACGATTATTTTATATTTATGAATTTTTTATATGTATATTTATATTTATATTATTTATTATATATTTATATTATTTTATATTTATATAATTGTAGTTTTATTTGTTATTTTAAGTTTTTCAAATGAATCATTATAAAATTATTTCATATTTGTTTATTATTTTAATATTAGATTTAGTACTTATTATATTATTTTATATTTATATTGTTTAATATAGTTATTTTTGTCATTGATCAAGACTCTCTGGTAGAAAAGAGATCTATTTATATATATATATATATATATATCACT